AAGCTTAAATATCGCAACACTTCTCTGGCCAGTCCCACTTTGGTCAGTGAGTCTCAAGGGTTTCTTTAGATTACACTGCAAAGTTGATGCTCAGCTCTTAATTGCAAGGAGCCAGTCATGAGCAGCGAAAGCAGAAAGGATACGAGGTTTAATTTGAGGTGCAATTTGAATTGCAACCACTTCATTTTCCAGGTTCTTTTCTGTTTTTGTTTTGTTTTGTTTTGGTTTGGTTTGGTTTGTTTTGTTTTGGTTTGGTTTGGTTTGGTTTTTTCAAAGCAGGGTTTCTCTGTGTAGCTTTGGTGCCTGCCCTAGTAGACCGGGCTTGAACGAACTCACGGAGATTCTCCTGTCTCTGCCTTCTGAATGCTGGGATTAAAGGCGTGCACCACCACCACCCAGGTTCTTATGTCTCTTTACAATGAACAGTGGGTTTAGAGACACATCTATATCTACAAGAAAGGAATGAGTTCATTACAGGAGAAAGGCAGAGGAGCTGGGAAGTGTGCCAGACATCACTGTGTCCTGGTTCTAAGAAAACAGAAGGAAGAGACAGGGTGGTGAGGCTCTATAACCTCTTATGGGTAACTTGCCTAGTATCTGCCTATCCAAGCTCATACAATATTGCCTTTTTTTCCCCTGACCATGCTCCCTTCATTGAATGAAGCCCACACAGACTAAAAGCATCTGGTCTTTCTTTCTTGTTGCTGCCTTTTCTATCTCCTCCTCCACTTGTTCCTTTTGTGTGTGTGTGTGTGGTGGGGGGGGAGGATTAGCTGGAACTCAGCCACCTTGTTTGAGGAGCAAATCAAAGACACAGGTTAGAGTAGGGTGCTTGTTGAGAAAAATGCTATAAAATATTTCAACACGAAACTTTTGATGAGTATTAGACACCAAGGTGATCCGAAACAAACAGAACAGCCGAGTATTAACTGCACAGGTCTTGTTAAAATGCAAGTTGTGGCGTGGTAGGTATTCCTTTCTGAAAATAGAACCTGGTGACCATGATCCTGTCAGGCCTGAACCCATGGTAAGCAGGACAGATGAAGGTAATTGCGTGTTTTGAGTCTGAAGTTAAAGATACAGGACCAGAAGAGGAAGCCCCAAAACGGTGGAAGTACGGAAGACTGAGCCAGGAAGGATGTAGGATACGGAGGGAGTGTTATGTAGTAAAAACAGAAAATACTTAAAGCAAGTGGGAATGTGTCACTAGCTGTGTGGCAAAAATGGAGTGAGAACAGTTATGTGAGTTTCGACTCAGTGTGAATTAGGTGTAGGAGACCATCAGGAGAACAAGTTAACCTCTGATACGGTGCAGATGTTGTTACTCATTCACCACACAGCAACCTTAGAGTGGTACCATTCCTCATGATCCTTCACTGTGCAGCCCCCACCCAGGTCTGGTGGGCTTTTGATGCTGCCTCTAGGAGCCCCTGACAATGGACTGGTCCAATGAATTTAAGGCCAGACCAGGATGTTTTGAAATCAAACTTGTGGACCAATAATATCAGTTTCCTGTCTTTGCTCAAACTGTTATCAACCCTAAATTAGGACAGAAAGACCACCACAAAGACCCATAAAAGCCCCATCCCTCAAGGAAAGACCTGCCTTTGGCTTCCCGAGTATCCCTGGGCTTTGCAGAGTCATCTCTCTGTTACTTGGTCTATGTGTGTTTCCTCGCCCCCAGTAAAAGCCCTTTTCTCTGGATATTTCTGTCTGCTGCTGCCTGCTGTGTTTGAGAATTTCCCCCACTGTTCCCTGATGACATTTTCCCCTACCTTTTAATTTTTTAACTGGCAAAACAAATGAACTTGATCAAGACCTCCTAGATGACAATGCTTTCATATTAAAGTCTACACCATTGAAATAAAAAATTATTTCATTTCCTGCCTGTCCCAGAGTAGTTGGAGACAGACTTTTCCCTTGGGCTTAGAGACTCACCTCTCTTTCGTGTAACATAGCATATATTTCCATCAGAATTTATATTCTGACCGCTCCCAGACGCGTATTTAGTCTGTCCTCCTGGTCTGGTCCTCGGAGAACAAATGTCTTTGGAAAGGGTCTGTCATGATACTCAACTCAATAAAACAGGAGAGGAAGCTTGGGAAGGTGTAAGTGTATACTGTGCTTTGAAGATAACAAATCACAGGAAAAGCAAAAGGCTCTGCCCACACTGAGAGCTGCGTGGAATGCAAGGCTGGAGGCGCTGCAATGAGCTTGCACCCTTAGGAGCTAGTATCTACAGGGGAACAACACCGCGGTGTGGAAAAGCCACTTGTAGCATGAATGAGTCACTGCGTTAAACACCAATGGAAAACCAGATTCTGAATATTTGCCAGATAAGTGAGTTTTAAAAATTATTGTTTCAGGTTTTTCTGCTTGCCTACAGTTCTTTTCTTTTGTTCTTCTCTCATACATTATATCCCAACTTTGCCTACAGTTTAAAATATACTAACTTATCCCCAACCCACCCCACCCCCAAGATCTCAATTTTCTCCCCGGCAATTTTGTCTACTTCCCTTAGTCAAGAGGATAACTGTATGTTTTTTTCTTGGGATCACCTTCTTATTTAGCTTCTTTAGGTTCACCAGGTATACACTCCGTGACCTTTATTTATGGCTAGAAACCAATTATGAGTGAGTACATCCCATGTTCATCTTTTTGGGTCTGGGTTACCTCGCTCAGGATAGTGTTTTCTATTTCCATCCAAGGGGGGACGGGGAGAGAAAAGTAAGAAGGGGAGGATTGGGGGAACTTGGGGAAACAGGAAGATTGGGATAAAGGAAGGTTGGATAGGAGAGCAGGGAAGCACATATCTTAGTTAAGGGAGCCACCTTAGTGTTGGCAAGAGACTTGAACCTAGAGTGGCTCCCAGGAGCCCAAGGCGATGTCCCCAGTAGTCCCTTGGGAAGCTGAGGATAGGGAACCTGAAATGACCCCATCCTATAGCAATACTGACGAATATCTTCCATATCACCATCCACCTGGTGATGGATGGAGATAGAGACAGAGACCCACACTGGAGCACTGGACT